TTTAGTCATAACTGCACTTCCATGATCGCAAGTATCAGCCATTTCTATGCTCCTTTTACAGCGAACATCTTCAAAAGAGTTGTCTATCATATTCTGCTTTCCATTCACTCTTCTTTCATTGTGTGTGTGTGTGTGTGTGTGTATGTGTGTGTGTGTGTGTGTTTTGGAGGGGAGGATAGATACTTTACCATTGAGCTATATTCCTGGTCCTTTTTAAGACAGGATCTTGCTAAATTGCTGAGTCTGGCATCCAACTCCTGCCTCAGTCACCAAAGTTGCTGAGATTACTGGTGTTCACCACGGCACCAGCTTCCTTCCATTCTTTGTTGAACCCACCTGGATAATTGTGTTTTTTTCTTTCTACAATTTCCTCAAAATTACTCCTGTCAAAGTCACCAATGTTCTCCATTTAGTCAAAATAAGAATCAGAGTGGCTCCTATCTCAACCTCTCTCTGGTCTTTGCCTCCCTCAATGATATGCAGCCAGCCTCACCCCCACTTCCCCATGAAGGTTGGGAGGAGGTAGCAAGAGGTCTGTACTCCAGGAAGGAAAATGGGTCAGAGTTCAGGAAAGAATTCACAGCTCAACACTCGGGAAACCCCACTTGCAGGTGAGGAGGAGGCACTGGGCTGAGATGATACCATTTTCTCTATTCTAGTCCTGGCCTAACGGTCCAACTGCCAGTGCACTGAGATGGTAAGGATGGGGGAGGAAAAAACACGTGCGAGGGCACACAGCTCACTGTGCTTGTGCTGCAGGGAGATAAAGCACTGGAGAAAAAAAACAACTACAACTGTGCACCACTTCCTCCAGCTTAAACTGAATGTTTCTTCAGTTGACTGTTTTTCAGAAACCTCTACTTTCATCATGGAACAGAAAGAAGCACGAGAAGGATGTTACTCATGGGAAGAGGGGTTCATATCTACTACCATCTGAGATAACCTTCTGCTGCCCTTAATATTTTTGTGTGTACAATACCCTAAAATCCATCAAGCTGCAAAGTTAATCTGCAGTCAGCTGTAAAGATAATATCATTACTTCTAAACCAAATTATCCTGTTGAAGTGGAGAAGATAATTTTCAAGATAAAAAAAATGCATCAGATAAAAATCTAGCCCTATAATAGTAGAAAACTATTTTTAAGAAAACACAGAGGGGCTGGGGATGTGGCTCAGGTGGTGGCGCGCTTGCTTGGCATTCGTGCAGCCCGGGTTCGATCCTCGGCACCACATACAAACAGGGATGTTGTGTCTGCCGAGAACTAAAAGATAAATATTAAGAAGGTTCTCTCTCTCTCT